GTCTGGGCGACAGTGAGACTCCAACTCAAAAAAAAATAGTTCCCAAAAGGTTATACCAGTTTCTGTCCTTACACTTAGGCAGCTGTGAGTGTGTACTTTGCTTCACGTGTGTCAATGTTGGTATTAATTAGTCATTTAAATATCACTCAGTCTTATAGGTAAGGAGATATTTTGTTTAAATTTGAACTTTTAAAAATTATTATGTTGTTTTAGAGACAGAGTCTTGCTCTGTCACCTAGGCTGGAGTACACAGTAGCACAATTATAGCTCACTGCAACTTTGAGTTCCTGGGCCAAAGCCACCCTTCCACTTCAGCTTCTTGAGTAGTTAGGACTACAGGTCGTGCCACTACTCCCAGCTAGTTCATCCCCCCCACCGAGATAGGGGGAAGAACTATGTTATGTTGCCAAAGCCGGTCTCAAACTCCTGGCTTCAGGTGACTATCCTACCTTGGCATCCCAAAGTGCTCGAGTTACAAACATGAGCCACTGTGTCTGACCTGTTTTAAAAAATTGTTAGTGAGATCAGCCTCTTGTATATCTTTGTGAACTGCCTGTCCTTGTTCTTTGCTCATTTATTTGGCAAAGGTAAATTAAACTAGCTCTTTGCCCGACACATTTTCCCATTTGCTCTTTGAAGGGAATGTTTGTGAACATAAGTTTTCACTGTAGAGCTGTATGTGGAATAGGTGCAAGAGAATGGGCAGAATCTGTTCTGATCCTACACAGTTGGAAGCCTTTGTTGATTTTTGTTTTTGAGGGAATGGGATAGAAAGGGAGAAAAATCATAAAATATTGGTATTAGTTTGCTTTCTGTTAGGCATGGTGTTTTTTTCCTAACTACCAAAAAGGAATTTTGCTGAGTCATGGTTTTACGGAGTATACAGCTCTACCTATGTCCTTGTTAGTTGCTGCTCTTCTGTCATGATAATGCACCTGTGAAGTCCTACTACATTCCTGATATGCCTTTGTCTTCGTGGGGTAAATAACATGCTAAAATATTAATCTACTTTTGATTCCTGATACATGAACTTTTTAAGAAAGGGATTTAATCTTCTCACCACAGCCTAGGGAAGTTGTTCTGGGATGTCTAATTGTGTTGCTTTCCCCTTCCAGGGTGTCCCTGAAAAGAGAGTAATTCCAGTCACTGTCCCCAAGTCACCAGCCTTTGCACTGAAGAACAGAATCCGAGTGTACAACCAAGAAGATGAGGTGATTCCCTGGGAGTAGGGACTTCTTTTTCCTTCTGCGTACTCTAAGCCTTGCCGTTTGTTAAACTTACTGGAGTTAAAGGCAACCACTTTATTTTATTTTATTTAATTAATTAATTATTTTTAATCTGTATTTATTTATTTATGTTTTGAGTTGGAGTCTTACTCCGTTGCCTAGGCTGGAGTACAGTGGCGCACTCAGAGCTGCTGTTCCTTGACCTCCTGGGTGCAGGTGATCCTTCCGCCTCAGCCTTCCAAGTAACTGGAACTATAGGTGTGCACTACCATGCCTAGCTTATTATTTGATTTGTTGTAGAGACAAGGTCCCATCAAGTTGCTGAGGCTGGTCTCAAACCCCTGATCTCAGGCAGTCCTCTTGCCTTGGCCTCCCAAAGTGCTGGGATTATAGGCTTGGGTCACTGTGCCCAGCCAAGGCAACCACTTTTAAAAAATTATTATTTATTTATTTTTGAGTTGGAGTTTAACTCTGTCACCAGGCTGGAGTGCAGTGGCATGCTCATGGCCATTGCAGCCTCAACCTGATGGGTTCAGGCCATTCTTCTGCCACAGCCTTCCAAGTAGCTGGCACTACAAGTGGGCACCACCACGCCTGGCTAAGTTTTTGATTTATTGTAGAGATGAGGTCTCATCAAGTTGTCCAGGCTGGTCTGGAACCCATGGGCTCAGGCAGTCCCTTGCCTCCGCCTCCCAACATGCTGGAATTGCAGGTGTGAGCAGCCATGCCCGACCAGGCAACCATGTTTGTTTGGAGTTCCTTTTAAGAATGCACATGTAGCCGGGCTCCGTGGCTCAGCCTGTAATCCCGCGCCTTTGGGAGGCTGAGGTGAGTGGATTGCCTGAGCCCGCGGGTTCGAGACCCACCTGGGCAGCGAGACCTCATCTCTACAATAAATCAAAAAATCAGCTAGGCGTGGTAGCGCATGCCTGTAATTCTGGCTACTTGGAAGGCTGAGGCAGAAGGATCACCGGAGCCCAGCAGGTCAAGGCTGCTGTGGCCGGGAGCGGCCATTGCACTCCAGTCTAGGCGACAGAGTGAGACTGCAACTCAAAAAAAAACCAAAAAAGAATGCACATGTGACCATCTATTTTGCTCTTCCAAGAACAAAGTAGTTGGTAAGGGTATGAATCTTCTGGCTCTCAGTGATAACTGGTTACCATTTATGGAAACAGTGAAGAGAGGTTAGGCATTGGAGGCTCATCTTCCTGTAGCATTGAAAATCAGCCTTTCTTTGCAACATGGTTCAAAAGCTGCCAAGCCCAGCGCTTTATTTTGCATTAGTTATTGTCACTATTCAGTGATGGACTTTTAAAATTCATACTAAGCAGTTACATCCGCCTTGCCGTATCTCCATTAACTCGGAGTTGCATAGGTAACAGCGGCGATGATGGTTCATGGAACTGTAATGGGTAAACTGTCATTGATCAGGCTAGTTTCTTGTTACATCTCCCATTTTATCTATAAATATCCAGAGTTAGGGTAATTTTATAGCAGATCTCAAGCATAAGCCTTTTTATAGGTTCATTTGAAACTAAAAAAAACAGTAATCTTGTGTTACCAGCTTGAACCCAAACAACTTACTTGGTCCTATTCTGGGTTTGGCAACCATTAAGTTGAGTCACATGTTTTAGTGGAGTCTGGAGGTTGGGTCAGAGAAGAGGCTAAGGCTGGTTAGGACCTATTTTCTGATCTTTATTTTATTCATACTGTTTGATCTCAATTTTTATAGCATTCCTGTAAAAAACGTTAGATATATATATATTTTTTTAAATTTTATTATTTATCTTTTCGAGACCAGGTCTTGCTCTGCTGCTCTGGTTAGAGTACAGTGGCATGATTATAGCTCACTGCAGCCTTGACCTCCGGGGCTCAGGCAGTCCTCCTACTTCAACCTCCTGAGTAGCTAGGGCTATAGGCATGTGCCACCACACCTGGCTAATTTAAAAAAAAATTTCTTTTATAGGCTTGGGATCTTGCTATGTTTCCCAGGTTGGTCTTGAGCTCCTAGCCTCAAGTAATTCCCACTCCTCGGCCTCCCAAATCGCCGGGATATAGGCATAAGTCACTATGCTTGTCCCAAAACTTTAGATCTTTTAAGATTGCTGTATTGTGAGGACACAGTGGCTCACACCTGTAATCCCAGCACTTTGGGAGGCTGAGGCAAGAGGATTGCCTGAGCCGGGATTGAGACCAGCCTGGGCAACTTGGTGAGAACTCTTCTCTACAACAAATGAAAAAAATTAGATGAGCGTGGTAGCACATGCCTGTAGTTCCAGCTTCTTGGAAGGCTGAGGTATAAGGATCACCTGAGTCCTGCAGGTCAAGGTGCAAGGTCTTGCGCCTGCACTCCAGCCTAGGCGATAGAGTGAGATTCCGACTTAAATAAAAGAGTGCTGTGTTATCCCATTACAAAATACTTTCATGTTGGTCTCACCCCTGTGAGGAGTGGACAACTTAGATATCATCCCTCTTTGATAATTAAAGAAGCTAAGTTGCCTATGAGGTTGACTGACTTGCTTCAATTAATGACTTATCACATGCAATGTTTTTGGGGGTTTTTTTTGTTTTTGAGTTGGAGTCTCACTCTGTTTCCAAGATTGTAGTGCAGTGGCCGCTCCCGGCCACCGCAGCCTCAACCTGCTGGGTTCTGGTAATCTTTCTGCCTCAGCCTTCTAAGTAGCTGGAACTACAGGTGTGCGCTACCACGCCCAGCTAATTTTTTGATTTATTGTAGAGATGAGGATGAAGTCTTGCCAAGTTGCCCAGGCGGGTCTCGAACCCGCGGGCTCAGGCAATCCATTCATCTCAGCATCCCAAAGCACGGGATTACAGGCTGAGCCACCGAGCCCGGCTTGCTATGTCTTTTGATCCTGCATTCTGAGGGTGTGGGAGAGAGTAAGGAGTTTTGTCTTTAAACTGCAGTTTTTCTCTTAGGAAGAGGATGAACTGGTAGTGATAAGAGCTCAACCTTTGCCACATTATGGAGTGCCTTTTAAGCCCCAAATTCCAGAGACAAGAACTGTGGAAGTATGCCCGTTCTCCTTTGATTCTCGAGACAAAGAACGTCAGTTGCAGAAGGAAAAGAAAATAAAAGAACTGCAGAAAGGGGAGGTAGGTATTGCCATTTCTGCAAGTGGTGTATTGCTAGTCTTTAATCCTCAATAGTCTTTTCTGTAGCACTTTTAACTATAAAATCACTGGCTTCCTTTGATCCCTCTAAGAACTGTATAAAATACCAATGAGGTAAATAATTTAAATAATTGTTTTGGCACAAGGAGATTAAATAACTTGCCCCAATCACACTGCTAATTCCTGGCAATATTGGAAGGAAAACCTAGATTTCCTTTTGAGCCCCTTATTCTTTTTCTGCTGGACCAACTGGCCTTCCCCATTTTTCAGATTCTTCCAAATATTCTGGAGCAGTAATTGCTTTCTGTCTTCTGGTCTTTGTCTTAAAACTCATGTTTTCTTTTCCATTAGATGCCCAAGTTCAAGGCTCTTCCCTTGCCTCATTTTGACACCATTAATCTGCCAGAGAAGAAGGTAAAGCATGTGACCCAGATTGAGCCTTTCTGCCTGGAGACCGACAAGAGAGGTGCTGTGAAGGCACAGACATGGAAGTACCAGGTGGGGAATGCAGAGAGCAGCCAAAATGTCAATCGCTGGGTTGCTTGGTTAGACAGGCAGACTCAATGTGCTAAAATCATCTAGGACAACATACTAGGTTATTTCAGAGGCTTTCACTGTAAACAGGGGTCAGCACATCATTTCTCTAATGGGCCAGATAGTGAATATTTTACATTTTGTAGCTTACATATGGTTTGTCACATATTGTGTGTGTGTGTGTGCTTAATCCTTTGAAAATGTAAGGACCATTTTTAGCTCAAGGGCTGTACAAAGACAGGTTGCAAGCTAGATTTGGCCTGTAGGTCAAAGTTTGCAGACCCCTGCGTAAGTGATCACCTGGGGAATGTGAGAACTGACAGGCTTATTTTGAGTCACTTGCTCTGGTTTTTGAGTTGGAGTCTCACTCTGTCGCTTAGACTGGAGTGCAGTGGCATGGCCACGCTCATGGCCACTGTGGCCTTGACCTGCTGGGCTTA